CATAATGAAGGGCAAAGAATTCTGGAGTTGTGTTCCAAAAATATCTGTAGTCCCATAGTTGCCTGCTTGGAAGGATGTATGCTCCTGTATAAAACTAACCATAGAGCTCATCTGATGAGCTACCTTGGCTTTGAAACTCAACCATGAGTTCCTTTGTTTTCTTAGCAGAATCAAGACTTTTTAAAGTAATGCTTTGTTCACTGTAAACCTTCTGAAAGAGTACCAAATCTTGCAGTGAACAGAGGCCAGTAGCATTATTTCATAGAGTTTTCAAAGCAGGTAGTACCTTTACTACTGGATTAAGACTGTGGAGACTGGGGTTTAAATTTCCATTCAGTTATGAAGGCCACCAGGGGCTTATTCACACTACAGCATTATAGCACTATTATTCTACTTTAACCACCATGGTTCCACCCTATGAATCCCAGCAATGGCAGTTTAGGAAGGGCCGTTTAGATTCTCAGACAGAGCACTCCAGTGCTTCACCAAACTACATGATTTCAAGATCCCAAGATTTCATAGGCTAGAACCATGGCATTTAAAGTGGAATAATAGTGCTATAATTCTGTAGTATGAATAGGTGGGATTGATGGTGTCTCAGAATACTCCAGGAACAGCTCAAAGGATTCAGACCCTGGAGCTTCTCCAATGTCCCCATTACCTGGGCACTCTATTGTGATGCCAGCTGGCTGTTTGCCCATGCTTTGCCTTGGGCCACCTGGCACTACTGCCACTGATCACATGGCTGGATGCCTTGTTCTGACCTCAGAGTGAGTGATGCCCTGCAATACCAATGACACTGGTGCTGGGTGGCACAGTGGGATATGTGTGTCAACAGCTACGCCATGTTGCATGAATGGGTGCCAGAAGTTTGAGGAAGATCTGGAGAAAACAGTGAGTTATTTTAAACTGTTCTAAAAGGGGTACATAGTGGTATTGTGCTGAACTGGCTGGGTGTCATCTGGACAGTCCATACCAAAATTGTGGATTAGGCCCTGCATCATCCAAATTCCTCACTGTGGGACTGAAAAATGTTTTATTTGGCCCACACAGACAGGCCCATTAAGCCAGTCAATATTTGTCAATTGGCAATCCTATAGTTTTCTATTAGGGATTAAGATCTATTGAATTGGTATACATGTATTACATTGCTCTGCAAGTCTCGTTGTTCAGAAACCTTCATGCCTTATCTCTACAGAGCTTCTTTTACATTTAGTCTTTCCTTTCCAGTGCTTCCTACCATTAAAAGGTCTTTGGACCTTCAAACAGAAACAGAAGGAAAGGAGGAGGCTAGTGCTCCTAGTCAGAGAATAGGTACCATCTCTGCTTAACCTCTTTAAAGTGATACTCCTTTTGTAAAAAAGACAAGCATTTTGCATTGAAACAATGACTGTGAAGGAAACAAAAAGAAATGGTGTGAATGGAAATAGGCAAGATGGAGGTGAATATTGAGTGTGTGTTTTTGTGTGTATTTGTGTGGGTGCAGTTATGAGCATTAAATGTAGCATTCAAGCTGCCGTTGGCTGTGCAAGTGTAATTAAGGGTATATATGGAAAAGACTTGAGGGTGTTTAAACTTCTTCCCAGCCTTTCCCTCATTTTCCATCTATCTGAGTAAAGACCCATAATGACCCATGCTTGCTAGACTGGATTCCTCTGAAGAATGACCTTATTTTTATTTCACAGACTGGACAGTTTGGGAATTATCTGTGTTAGGCATTCCCATGATTCCCTCCATTTCTGCATGGTGCTTCTCTTCTATGTTGACCCTTTAGCTTGAGAGGTCAAAGTCTAGAGGCATACTCTTGTATGGGAACACTGAATTCTACCCCAGGCCAGTCTGTTAAGTCAGCCCACTTAATTTATATACCATGCTAGGGCCAGGCATCCTGTTCCTCCACCCAGGTGCAATTATTATTATTATTATTATTATTATTATTATTATTATTATTATTATTATTATTATTATTATGTTTTTTTCAAAAAACAAACAAAAAACCAACAACAACAACCATGAAGCATTTTTTCATTCAGTGGAAAAATCCAAGAGTTTAAAGGAATGAACGTGCATTTTTCACACTCTCCATAAAAGTCTGAAAAGCATTTCAAAATGAAGTTTGTAATTGTTAAAGACATTTCTGAGCCTCCTAACAGCCATGGCTACAAAGTGGTGGTTGTTTCAAGGTGACATCATCTGTGCCACAGGCATTATGGAATCCTTATGTAAGCCAGCCGCAGACTGGCTCCTAATCTGTGTTAATGCAGTTTTAACCAACATAAAAAAGGCAAATGTATTGAATAGGCAAAGTCAAGCACTGTTTTCCTGGGATTGTGCCATGCACTGTGGGCAGAACTAATCAGGAAGTGACTAATAGTACTACTGCTTTAGAATGTCTTGTCAATGAAAGGGTGGCAAATGTTCAAAATTCTATATGTTTGCCCTCTTACCCTCACCTTCTTTTATGAAGCTAGGGCAAATTTGACAGAAAATGCACACTGCGCACCAAACCTATTTTGCACAGAACATCTTGTGGTCAATCATCAATGGTTGGCTTGGAATTGGTTGGTTTTTCAAGGAATTTGGCCTTCCAGTAAATCAAACCAAAAAGTCCCAGATAAATGAGGTGTTACATCATGAAAACTGTTTAAGATTAAGTAATTTTCAATTGCACTTCAATGTTCATATCATTTACCCAGGACCATACTTATGCAACATAAACAAAGATGTTGCTGTATCTGATCAATATACTAATCTCAACATATCTGGTAGCAGGATATTTCTAATAATGCTAAAACCTAAACTGGTTTAATAATTCCATTAATAATAATTAATTGTCCTGATTTAGCAGGGACAGTCCTGATTAATTTTCTGTTGTGCCACTTTTCAGCTGCTTTTAAAATGTCCTGGTTTCTCTCTTCTCCTCCCACTTTGCCCTCTTGTCCTCTGCTTATTTCTATTGGTGCAAACTGATTTGAAATTGCAAAAGTAGCCTGTGCTCACTTAACTCAGCACAAGGGAAGGGAGGGGATGAAAAAACAAAATCTTGCCCTTCCCAGTGTGCTCAGGCAAAAGGAAACTGTTGCAGCCTGTCCTAGCTTATGTCTTCTTCATTCTCATTAATATCATTTGTGATTTTGACCGCACTCTGATGTTGCATGGGATGACAAAGGATTAATCAGGACTGTCCTTGTCAAACGACGTCATTTGAGGATAAGCAAGGATGATGTGGTTGGATCTTTCCCTGTTTGTTTTTAATTAGGCCTTACAGAGAATCCTGTGCATTTCTGTTCAGAAATAGGACCTCCTGAGCTCAGTGAAACTTACTTTCAGACAAGTGTGTATAAGATTGCAATGTTAAATGCCTTTTTGTTTCAATCTGCCTTTGGTTAAAGTATCGGTTTGGTTTCAAACTGTGACTTCTCTCCATTCTAAACTGTTTTATTTGGATCATTAATATCAATTATGCATTATTTTGTTATTGTTTTAAGTTTAAAGGTTTTTTTTAGATAATTGTATTTTTGGTTTTTATTGATTGTAAGCTACTTTGAGTGATTCTTATTCTGACATGGCATAAGAAACCTTC